TGGCATATATGAAACAAAGAACACATCATCTTTTTTCTTTCTTTTGTTTGGTAGCAATCCCATGAACTTGAGGTATTGATGATGTTGTTTCCATATCAGTTTCAGTGGGATTTTTGTGAACAAGGCATAAATGAAATCCAATACTTTGTCAATTTCTTGTCTTTCATCTGCCTTGTTAAAATAATTTTTAGGGATACTATTTTCTTGAAGATTTCTTGCTGAATGTCTACATATATATGATTTTTTACATCTGTATTTTCATCTAGTAATAGATCATCTTCAAGTTGCCTTCTTTCTTCTTCCCCATATTTCTTGTTTACCTCAGATTCTTCTATTTCTAATTCATCTTCTTCGTCTGATGTCATGCTTTGTTTTTCTTCTTTCACACATTCTTCTTCCAACCTAATCTCTCACCAAATAAATTTATCTGGATAAAAGTTAGCTTCCTTACATTAATTCATAAGGATTCTTACCTCCCTTCGATATGCTTTAAAAATTTTGGTCGCCTCTTCCAGAGTGATTCCCGAATCAGGCGACCAACATGCAGGAGATACAGGTGGAAATGTATAAAAAACATTCATAACTACACAACTCAGAAACTTTATTAGTCGCACAATATAGAAGAATTCATGAAGCAACAATAATCTGATTTTTTTTAATAAAATAAAAATAAAAATAAGACTAAATTTTAGTTGCAGAGCAACAAAATTTTAACTAAAATAAAACTATACAATCTATGATCTTTAGCTGTCCCCGTCAACGGCGCCAAAAACTTGACCGGGAAAATAACAAGTGTACTATTTTGCAAATGTAGTAATAATGGGGATTTCCCCGAATGTCGATCTCAAGAACTACTTGATGATATAGAGTTCTGTTTTTATTTTAGTCAAACAAAAGCTCTAGGGTTTTAAAAGAGTTTTTGTTAATTATAAAAATATTTTCAAGAAAAAGGGAAAATTGACTAATTGGTTTAAACAACTATGAGTAACCTGCTAGGGAAGGCGTATGATCTGACTCAGTAACAACTCTGAATTAACATGCAATGACTTATTGTAACTACTTAATTACAAATTCTTTAGAATGTTTACTCCTAAGTCCTTAGTGAGAAAACTTTTAATCGTCTACCCTAATTCCTACGTCCATAGAGAATTATAAGTGAGATTAAACAATCAGTTATCAAGAATTATTACGGTTCCTATAGGGTATCCCTAGTCCTAGGTGATATCTACTATAGGATGATCAAAAGCAAAGGCTTAACAACGGCAGTCCAGCCTAATCATTAATCGTAAATCAAACCCTGTTGGCCCGACAGGACAAGCATTAAGAACAACTAGAGATCAAATCAGCTATGAAAACAAAGGAAATGTCAGTGTAATAATAATATCAAAATCATTACATATTCAAATCAGGGACACCCCTTAGAATTGGGGGTTTAGCTACTCATAATATTCAAAGAAAATACAAAATAAAAATCAGACATTACAAGATAAAAGGGTTCTGGATCTTCAATGACTTCCGCTCATAAAAACCTTTAGTTCCCCAATCACCTTGATCTCTCTAATCCTGATAGTGCAATATTTCTCTGGCCAAAAAGTTATGTTTTCCTTCTCAAAATCTGTCTTAAATACTCCCAGATCCAACACAGTAATAGGAAAATACTCATAGGGATCACCTAAAAAATCATAAAATTGGAAGATGAAGTGCATCAGCCAACACGGGCCGTGTCAGCTAACAAGGGCGGCCGTGTTGGCTCCCTGGTCATCTGATGTAAAAGCAACCCTGCTCCAGATTTGCTGACACGGGCGCCCGTGTCAGCCCCCTATTTCACTTTTAAAACTCTTCCGAATTACTGTTGTTTTTCCCGATTTTTGCTCCGATTCTTCTTGATTGCGTACCTGAACCTAAAAATAATGGAAATACCAAACCAACGCATAAAATGCAATAAAAGGAAATAAAATGAAACTAAACACATAAGACAATTAATTAAAACTCATGGTAAAATAACATATAAAAATCACTGATCAGTTACGTCGAAGGTGTAAGTTTTCTTAGGGAACTTATCATTTTCTTTGGGTTCTGTAGGATTCTTCTCATTTACAAGTGTAAGAAACTTACATATATATGGGGGACCTAAATTTAATTTAGCCACGTCGACCACAGACTCCTCAACATGTTCATATTCAACATCAGATACTATGTCTTAGTTCTGCATGTCGACGTAGGCTATACGTTATTTCTTACCCTTACCAGCTCTTCCAGAGAGGGACACAGTTCTAGAGGAACCGGAGACATGGGCAAATCAATAACATACCTCTGATCCCAAAAACTTTGTACCACATGCATTTTCAATGAGGAGTTGGTGGCATTAGGATTATTATTTGAATTTGATTGTGTTTTTAGGTGTGATTGATGTATTGGTGATCTCGTTATCACTATCATATTGCTAAATTTCATCGTTAACATTTATAAGATATATTCTAACCCCTTTTTAATGTTGTGGGGTTTGTGATCCTCAGGAGTACAGACAATCAGGTACTCGATAGGAGTAATTTCTTGTAAGTTGGAATATGGCCTTGGAAGTAGTCTTTGATTATATTTGCATTTATCGATTTTTAGTGATTTATATGCTCTGATCGCTAACATCGGGAATGAGCGCATTATTTTGGTAGAGTTGTTGTTTGGAGTTATTTCGTTGAATAACTATTTAAAATAATTATCCTATGTTTTGAGATATTTTGAGTCCCGCTGCGAAGTTTTTGAAAAATACTCTTGAGGTTGCATGCTTTGTGTGTTGTAGCATCCTAAATAGTGCAATTTTATCTTTTATATTAAGATTCGAGGTTTAGGGTGTTACAGACCACGTTGATGGTAGTTAAGATTCCGTTTCAAAAAAAGAGAAAGGGACCAAAACCTCCAACTCATAGATAATAAGGAAGACGAAAGTAGAAATAAAGGGCAGATGGGTCATTGGAAGTATCCATGTTTTCCCTCTTATCTCTCAAGCAATGTTCCATGAGCACGTCTCTCTCTCGTCCCATACTGGAGAAACTCATGTCATGGCGAAATTTGTCGATCAACTCCGTAGTTGAATACAAGTAGGCAATGTCCTTGACGTGGATGAATGTAGTTTTCTTCACCATGGTTGGAAGAAGTAAGGGTTCAAGAAGAAGAAATCTAACACATAAAGGATTTTATGAAAAAGGAGGAAGTAAAATGATGCTTCCAATATATATATATATATATATATATATATATATATATATATATATATATATATATATATATATATATATATATATATATATATATATATATATATATATATATATATATATATATATATATATATATATATATATATATATATATATATATATATATATATATATATATATATATATATATATATATATATATATATATATATATATATATATATATATATATATATATATATGGAGTCCAAGTAAATGGGTTCACACGTGCATCCAATATATTGTAATATATTGTCACCAGAAGCGGGAAAGTTTCCACGCTTGGAAGCCAAGTCTGAAGACAGGCTGTTGATTTGCCTTCCCAAGAAACACCATAATGAAGAGCATTAAAGGCTACTCATGCCTTTCTCCTCAAACACTCTCTTTGAAAAATGTGATTGACGTTTAGACGTCTCAGAACATTCCCCCAAAACGAACACGTTTCTCTAAGTTTTCTAAATGTCCATGCCACTCAAGCACCAACTAATTCAAGCACCTTCCGCTGAGGGGGTCGCCCTTCGCTGTAAGACATGCCTGCTACTTCGCACCCCTTCAGCCGAGGGACTCGCTCTGATATGGAACACCTCCACCAAACGAGACCGATCTCTGTCGAGGGAGTCATCAATAGGGAAAGAGTGCATTTCGAATAAAGGATAATAATTTTAAACACTTTGACCTTAAAGAAAAGTCCTTGTGGCTGAGGGGCTATGTCATGTTCTATTTGTCAAAATCCTAGACTATTGTGCCCTCACCCCACAGTTGTACCGCCCAGGTGGGACCTAATGACTCGCCCAAGGATCCCTTGAACGTGAGAGTCAAGTAAGAGGAAGACGCCACTGAATCCTAAAATATAGGTGGTCAATATCCTCCCTTAATAAGAGGGAAGTAGTTAAGACCACATATGAGGAGAGAACCTTAAGTTTGAGAGATCCTTATAAATACATCAATCCTCAAATATATAAGGGACGAATTAGAAAACATACACATCTTTTCGAACCTAAAAAAACACCACGCTCTCGGTAAACACATCATATTATCCCATCCGTATATCTAACATTACCAAGTCAACATGCTATATTTTTATAAAGTAAAATATTTATAAACGTTGAATTATTACTTAATTTAAAAATATTTCTTTTTAAATTAAATTCATACATTAATACATTAATATAAACTATTTTTTATAATAAAAATTTAAATTTAAATTAAATTTTATATTTCTTTTTACATACATATTTTATCATCTAGTATTTCCTTTTTTTACTCCTATCAAACATCTAGAAAAATTATCTCATTTTTTATTCATTATATATTTATTGTTTATTTACTTTTATTTTGTCCATATAATCACTTTTATTTTTGAATGAAGAAATAAATTTAAAAATCAAAATATTCAAAGTTGTTCTAATATTTTAAATATAAAAATTGAAAAGTCTTAAAAAAAAACAGATTTTGAAAATTGAATCAAATATACCAATAAAATAAATCTTATACTAAAAAGAGATATAGAAATTTTTATTAAATCTTTTAGAAAAATTAAATATATAAAATTAGTCAAACATAATAATATATCTAAAGTACTAAAAAGACAAAAGTAAAATAGGTTTAAAAAGGAGGAGGTTTTGCTTCGGATAAACAAAACAACAGCCGCAAGGTACAGACAGAGATTGAGACGAAGAATAAGTAGTAGCGGTACCACTAACTCTGATACCAGTAGTTTTCTTCATTTTCATCATTGAATTAATCATGGTTATCTTCATTTGTAACCCCATTTTCTTCACTATTGCAATTCTCTTATTCTCAATTTGGGCGTTACATAAGTTATTCGCAATCGAAAAGGTGAAGAGAAAATGGAGGAAAATAGAGGATTGGTTCCACGTGTATCATGTTTTCAATGTTCCAGAGCTAAACGACAACATGCAGTACAACACTTTTTACAGAAAACTCTCGATATACTTTCGTTCCCTTCCTTCCCTCCAAGACGCACACTTCAATAACCTAATTACTTCCAATGATAACCAAAACGACGTCGCTCTTTGCCTTAGCCCTAACCAAACCGTTCAAGACCATTTTCTCGGAGCCACTCTATACTGGTCCAACCAAACCGAACCGAACCGGATCTTCATTCTCAAGATCAGAAAAACCGATAAACGAAGAATCATTCGTCTTTATCTTCAACATATTCACGCCGTCGTTGACGAAATCGAAAAACAAGGGAAACGTGATTTGCGGATTTACATGAACGCCGGTAACGTTGCCGGTGCTGGTGCGTTGAGACTATGGAGATTCGTTCCGTTCACGCATCCTTCCACATTTGAAACAATCACAATGGAAATAGATCTCAAAAACAAAGTCAAATCCGATCTAGAATCGTTCCTCAAAGGGAAGCAATACTATCATCGGATTGGCCGAATCTGGAAACGAAGTTACTTATTATACGGTCCTTCCGGCACCGGGAAATCTACCTTCGTTGCCGCCATGGCCAATTTTCTCTCCTACGATATCTATGACGTGGACTTATCAAGGGTTCACACCGATTCGGATCTCAAATTTCTCTTCCTCCAAACGTCACCGAAATCGATTGTTCTCGTTGAGGATCTAGATCGGTTTCTCGACGTGAAATCATCCACGGCGTTGAGTTTATCTGCAATACTGAACTTCATGGACGGAATATGTAGCGGCGAAGAGAGACTCATGGTGTTCACGATGAACAGCAAAGAAAATGTGGATCCGGATCTGCTTCGTCCGGGTCGGGTTGACGTACATATCCATTTTCCTCTATGTGATTTCTCATCATTCAAAACGCTTGCTAGTAACTACCTTGGGGTGAAGGATCACAAGCTATTCCCTCAGGTGGAAGAAAATTTTCAAAACGGAGCGAGTTTGAGTCCAGCAGAAATCGGTGAGTTGATGATCACGAACCGGAACTCGCCGAGTCGAGCAATTAAATCAGTCATCACAGCATTGAAAACCGACGGTGATGGAAGGGGATATAAATCGATCGAACGGCGCAGAGGGAATGATGGTGATGATGACGTGGATGAGGGTGCACGTGAGCATTCATTTAAAGAAAGAAAGAAACTTTACGGGTTTTTAAAATTGAGGGCTTCTGGAAGAAAATCTTGTTCGTCATCGCCGAACAACAGTGCAGTGGGAAGTCCGTTACGAATTTGTGATAAATGACTGCGTTGGATGACACGTGGCAACTATTTGTTGGTCACGGGAACAACGTGCAGCTTTTTCTATTGCACCTGATTCAGGGATTTCGTACTTTATTTTTCTCTTTTAATTATTCGTACATTATTGATTGATTGATTCTATTGGATGGAATGCACACACTTAAGAAAAGTGTTTATACTTGCCCTTTGAGGAGTTGTTTATTTGAGTGAGTATAGATCGGTGGAAATTGGAAAGTGATTGATAGTTACAAAAAAATATACTTTGTAGAAGTTTTTCCCAACCGGATAATCAAGTTTATTTTTTTGGCACATCTCCCTCTCTTTATTTTAAGTGTTTCATTTGTTATTCTTAGATATGATATTAAATAATTATATTAACTATTTTAATTATATTAATTTTAATAAGATATATTTAATACTAATATTTTATTTTTATTTTTTTATATACCAGAACTTTGCACATACAACTTTCATGTCATTTGTTCAAATTTAAATTAGGTTTTTAAAAAAGTTGAAATTTTAACTTTGTAATTTCAAAATTCAGAATTTTTTTTTTAAATAAGAGTTTGGTTGTAAAAAGTTATTAGATATAGAAAATGTACTTGATAATCTAAGGCCATAGTAATTTATGAATCTATGAATTTTTCTTCTATGAATTTGATTATATTATTTGATAGATTGCAGAAAAATAAGATGGAGCTGAAAATGCTGGCTGGTGATGAAGAAGGTGATCGGAAGAAGAAGAAGAAAAAATGTCTTATTTTAAAAGTCAAAGACATAAAGTCAGAAGATAAAAAATGCTAAAGTAACAGTAATGAAGACTTGAATCTCATGTTTCATTTAAAATTTTAAGATGATCAACACAAGAAAGAAGGAAGATCCTCATTCGTTCTTACATACTATCAATGCATAAAAAAAATGACACATAAAAGCAAATTACCCTCAGAATCGAAATTAGATAAGAAATCAAAATCAGAATCAAAGAAAGTTTAAGAAACATAACAAAGAAGCTAAGAAAGTCTACATTGCATAGAATGACAATGACATTAAGTACTCATATGAGGAAGAAGCAAACATTTGTCTCATGACAAATCAAGAAGAAGACGTGGTAACACTTCTCTTATAATGACTTGTTTTGCATATGTAAGAAATTAAACAGAATCTAAGTAAATTGAAATGTCTTGTCTCCATATGTGAAATGACTATTTCCTTCTTTGAAATAGGAAATAAAAATTTATTGAAAGGAATAGAAAGTCTCAAAGAAAGATTAAGCATTTTCATTCAAAGTCATCCAGCTTCCAATAAAATTTTAGTGGAACCTACCAATTTGATAAATGCAATATTTTGAAAAATAAAATTTTTATCTTTAAAATACACTTGATAAGTTTATTAAAGAAAGAGGTAACTTGAATCTTCTTTTAAAAAATCAAAGAGCATCTTGTAACAATGTCGAATTAGATTATGAATTTAAAAGCAACTCTAAAAGTTTAAGTAGCATATGTCATGCTAAAAAAACTAATCGTTCTGTTTATATATGCAATTATTGTTGTAAGTTTGGCCATATCAAGTCTTATTGTTTTAGCAAAATGAACTATTTAAAGGGCCAAAGAGATTCAAATGTAATAAATTGAGCCACCTTAAATCTACTAACACTAAAAGATCCAACAAAAAGAATTGGGTATCAAAGGTCAAAAAGTAAAATTATGATGTAGATATGCTTAACAGCTTTAACTCAAAATGTGATAGCAATTGTTCAAATCATATGACTGAAGATATAAATCGTTTCTCTTATTTTACTCCTAAGAAAGGAGAAACTTCCTAGTATAGTGACAACAATGGTAAATCTGTTAAATCTGGGACTATTGATAAGAGTCATAATCCTACCTTTGAGTTTTTTTATAATTATTAAAAGTTTATAACACAATATACTTAGTCTTAAGTAAGTTGTGTGACAAAAATAATAGAATATTGTATAATTCTTCTACATGTAAAAACTTTGATTTTTTTAATCTTTTCTCTATTACTTATTTTAAAAAGATCATGACTATAGAAGAATTCAAACATGTTACCTTTAATGATATAACCAATTGTGTATTAGAGGTATAATTCTTTGTTTGTGCAGGTATTTTAAAGAATACTCTTCTAGAAGATCAAGATAAAGACAATGGTTAAGATCAAAGTGAGAAAAAAATGTCAAGAAAAAGACCAAGGAAAAATAGAAGATCATCAAAATGAAAAATCAAGTCATGATCATCAGGATCTTTCCAAAGAATGGAGTATCAAAGCTGAATAATTTGATATATTATGGTTAAGAATATACAAGTGCTAATATTTTTAAATAGACTATTATGACCTAATGACCTTACTAAAGATCCAAACTTAAAATAATAATAAAAATAACAAACTAATTAATTATTTATAACAATCCCCCTCAAGCTGGTGAATATATATGTATCCTTTCAAGCTTGGAAACAATTTCTTCAAAGTTATTATTGTTCAGCCCTGTTGTTAGAAGATCTGCAAGGTTGCCTTAAGAGGACACATATGGAGTGCAAATAATGACACTCTCGAACTTTTATTTAATGAAGTGTCTATTAACTTTAATATGTTTGGTTTTGTCATGTTGCACTGGGTTATGAGCTATGTTGATAGCCGACTCATTATCATAATAAAGTCTCATCGATTCATCGCATTTTGTCCTCGGATCTTCTAAATTGATTTCAGCCATATTAGCTCACATATCCCTCGTGTCATTTCCCTGAACTCTTCTTCAGCACTAGATCTCGATACTACATTTTGTTTCTTACTTTTCCAAGTCATAAGATTTCCACCTAGGAAAGTGCAATAACTTGTAGTTGATCTCCTATCCGTAATTGATCCTGCATAGTTGGCATCGGTATATGCTTCAAGACTAACACTCTCATTTCTTTCAAACAAAATTCCTCTACCATGTATTTCTTTCAAATATTGTACAATTTGAAATGCAACTTGTAAGTGAATCTCCTTTGGTCGGTGCATGAATTGGATGACTAAGCTAATAACAAAAGCAACATCAGGTTTAGTATGTGCGAGGTATATAAGTTTTTCGACTAATTTCTAATACATTTCCTTATCAACGAAAATATCTTCTTCTGCATTTGCTAACTTGTGTATTTGCAGACTTGCATGTTATCTTGCCAATTTAGTGTAGGAGATTAATAATGTATTTCTATTGAGATATAAAAATTCCTTTCTTAGAGTTGAGACTTAAATTCCCATAAAGTATTCAATTTCCTATAGATTTAATCTCAAATTACTTAGTTAAGTGTATATCCAATAATCGTTGTCCTTCCTCATCATTACGTGTGACTATAATAACATCCACATATACCAATAACACAGTTACTCCCCCTATTTTAGAATGTCTGATAAATAAGGTATGATCTTCTTGACTTTGTTTGAAACCCAAACCTATCATAACTTTAGTGAATCTTCCAAATCATGCTTGTGTCAATTGCCTTAACCCATATAAATATTTTTTTAACTTGCAAATGGTGTTGGTGGTAGTACGTTCACAAAAATCAGGAGGTACATCCTGGTAGATTTCTTCTTCAAGCTCACCATGAAGGAATGAATTCTTCACATTAAATTGGTTTATGTTCCAATTACAATTAGTTGATATAAATAATATCACCCTAATTATATTCATTTTCACAACTGAAGCAAATGTCTCTGAATGATCTACTCCATAAGTTTGAGTCAATCCTTTAGCTACCAATCTTGATTTGTACCTCTAAATCGATCCACGTGCCTTGTATTTAATAATGTATACCCACTTGCACCCTACATGTTTCTTTCCATTTGGTAAAGAAACCAATTCCCAAGTATTGTTCTTTTCCAGGGCCTTCATCACCAAATTCATGGCTTGTTTCCATTTCTTGTCAGACAATGCCTTAGATAGAGAGGTAGGTAGTTTTATAGTGTTCAAATTTGTAAGGAAGGCATTATAGGTAGGTGAAACATGTTCAAAGCTTAGGTAGTTTGATAGAGGGTAAAGTGGTTGTTTGGTACAATTTTAGGATCTTTCCTAAGGGCAATTGGAAGATGTAAATCTTGATAGTGTGATGGTAGTAGTGATGAAGTTGAATTGGATTTTGGTTCCTGTTCATGAGAAAATTGAGAAGTTGAATAACTAGAGTTAGACTCTTGGATATGAGTAGATTCAAGAATGGTTTTCCTTCTTGTATATACTAACTGATTCCCATATCTTACATCAGTTTCATATTTTCATAATCATGTTCAGTTCCAAGACTAAGGTCAGTAAGTATAAGAGACTCATCTTCCTTATTTACGTTCTCCCCTTGAAGATGAGTTTGAATGTAGTAACTTTCTTGTTCATGGAAAGTGACGTCTTGAGAGACAAAGAACTTGTGAGACGGTGGATGATAACATTTGTAACCTTTTTGGATGGAAGAATATCCTATAAAGACACACTTTAAGACTCTAGGATCAAGTTTCCCTCTACCATCACTATGAATATGGACGAACGATGTACATCGAAATATCCTAGGGGTGGGGTTATTAGCGGTAGACACATTATGATAGAACGAGGATAAAACTTCCATAGGAGTTTAGAAGAAAATAGTGTAGAAGGCAAACGATTTATGAAATACGATGCAGTTAAAACTGCCTCGCCCCAATATTTATTCGGAACTTTATTTTGAAATATCATAGCACGTGTTTGGTCTAACAAATGCCCCTTTTTTCTTTCAGCAATTCCATTTTACTGGGGTGTTTTAACACATGAAGACTCATCTGTGGGAACCGCGGAGTCTTTGAGAGGTTTAGTTTCAAACTTGACCATTTGTTGTAAATCTTGGAGACAACATATTTCGTGAAGAAAACGTTTGAGCTCGTTAACCAGATCAATCAAAGTTTCGGTCGAACGGGTCCTTCGCATGCAAAATTAGAATAAATAAAACAGAAAAATAAAAGTACATTAGTTTAAATGACATTAAAATAAAA